AACAAGTGCCAGGTGAAAGTGTAGGTGAATATCATACGGCTATTGAAGAAATGCTTCGACGAGTAGAGTCAGGAGGGCATCAGTATCCTAATACGGCTAAGGCTCAGATGTTTATTAATGGACTTCGACCAGAATTATTTGTAGCTGTATCACCGTTAACTCCTAATATGTTAGAAGAGGCATATGTTAGAGCCAAGGCATTCGATAATGCTTACAAACAAAATTCTACTCAAGCTGCTTATGCAACTCTGACAGTTTTTCATTCTCTTTATAGTTTTCCTGGTACCCCAAATTTTAATTCTGCTAGTTCGAACAAAACGGCTGAGGCTTTGAAAAGTTTGACAAGTTCAATCGAGAAATTAATGAACCAACTTCAAGATCAACGAAGGCCACTACCTCGACCCTGGTCTGGAAATTCTACTACATCGACTGTAACATGTTTTACTTGTGGACGTACTGGACACTATAGTCAAAATTATCCCGATTCATCAAATAATCATAATAACCCTCCAGTTAATAACTGGCCGCCAGCAACTAATAATAATAATTCCAGCAGTAATAATAATAATCCTACTCTTAATGAAAATGACCCTCAAGAAACTCTTCAAGCGTTATTAGCATTAATGAATAATAATCTAGGTCTCTTTAATAACACAGAGAATCAAGCTTCGTATTTAGGAATTTCTGAGGAAGAAACGTTATTTTTTCCAGCCGAAAGGCCAATTCGCCCAAAGTCTATAGCAAATACACCAATCCTTCGAAAAAAACAAGTTGAAACTAAAACTTAGATTTAATCGATCTTGAGGAAACCGGAAATAATAAAGACCCTGATGTTGAAATGGAAGAAGTTTATGAGGATCACGAAAACCTAGAGCCACAAGATCTGGTTGTCCACGATCAAGAACAAAATGAATCTGTTGTGCTACTTGAGGCAAAGAAAGTTGAACTGCCTAAGATGAATAAAAAGAAAGAAGATGTGAAAGTAGTTCAGAGAAAGGTTCCTGTCATTCGACGAAAAAATATTGTTGAAGATGAATTACCTCAAATTTTTTCTTTAGTTACTCCATATTCGATAGTAGCCGATGTAAGAGATAAACCTGCTAATATAACTATCGGGCAGTTGTTACAAGTTACAACATCAATGAGACAAGAATTATCCTGGTCTCTACAAAAGAAAAGGGTTGTAAGCTATAAAAAGATTCAAGCTAATGTTAATATACAGCCCACTTTAAAGTCGACGGCCTTATATTGTGACGCCAAGGTTTATAACCGAGTAATACCATTAATCGTCAATAGTGGTTCCTCTGGAAGTGTTGTTACTTCCCACTTGTTAAACGATCTTGGTATAAGAATTGAACGACCATCTGTAGTAAATATGGTCAATATTCATGGTGAAAGCAAGCGTGCTATTGGAGAAATTTCTGATTTTCCATTCAATATCGGTGGCATTGAAATTCCAATTGATGTGGTCGTAACCGATGCCAACTCATATTGTGCTATTGTAGGAAATAATTGGCTAGCTAAAGTTAATGCGGCTATTGATTGGAATAGTTCTGAAATGACTTTGATTTGGGATGAGAAAGAAATTATTGTTCCAGTTAAGTTTCGGAAATTAGCTAAAGTGCTGTTAGACAAAAAGTGAGTAGTAAGAATAAGAAATCTTGGTAGTGACGGTAAGGACGAAGATGAAGAAGAAGAAGATGAGGACTTTGAAGATGAAGAGTTAGAAGAGCAATTGTATGTGATTTTAGAGTTTGTCGACGAAAGAGGAAATATTAGAAAAAGATTGGGCTCAGAATGGGATGAAATTATAGAAGAAGAAAGAGATAACGAACGATCGTATGAAGAAATGATATTATATGGCGGAGGACCTGTTGCCGGGCTTATTTCAGCACAGGAAGAGGATAATCGATTTATAGCAGATTTATTTGATTATTACTATGAAAAAGGAAGCAGTTCCAATATTAAATATAATATAGGGGAAGTAGAAGATGACCAAAGAAAGCGGCTATTGGAATTGCTTAGAGGAAATCCCGATCTCTGCGCTCAAGATATTTCTGAGTTGGGAAGGACCGATATAATTCGGCATTGTATTCCTACCCAAGATGTATGGCCGATTCGTCAACGAACGTATCGATATTCTCTTGCTGAAAAATGATTTCTCAAAGAAGAAATTAATAGCATGTTGGATGAACAAATTATTCGACCATCTACTAGTCCATGAGCGTCGTTGTTGTATTAGTTAAGCAACGAAACCGAAAGATGCGATTTTGTGTTGATTATAGAAAATTGAATGCTGTAACAGTTAGAGACAATTATCCATTACCCCGAGTTGATGAACTTTTGGATACTTTAAATAGATCATCTTGGTTCACGTCGCTAGACTTAGCCAGTGGATATTGGCAGGTTGAGATGTTTGAAGACGATAAAGAAAAGACTGCATTTATTACACCGTACGGGCTTTACGAATTCAACATTATGCCATTTGGACTTATGAATGCCCGGCTACATTTCAGAGGTTGATGGATCAAATCTTCAGCGATATAAATAGAAGATTTGTTGTTATTTACCTTGATGATCTTAATATCTTTTTCAAGTCATTCAAAGAACATTTGGATCATTTGAGGGAAGTATTTTTACGACTAAGATGAGCGGGCTTAAAAATTAAACCCCAAAAATGTTATTTTGCCTGTAAGGAATTAAAATTTCTAGGATATGTCGTGAGTGCGTTAGGAATATTAACTGATCCAGAGAAAATTCGGCCGTTCAAGAATTTCCTATCCCCCAAAATTTGAGACAGTTACGTGGATTCCTAGGATTGGTATCTTATTATCGACGGTTTATCTCTGAATTCACAAGAGTTGCAGTCCCCTTGAATTCATTATTACGGAAGAATGCTAGATATCATTGGACCTTAAGACATCAAGAAGCTTTTGAAGAATTGAAAGAAAAACTTATCAAGGCTCCGGTTTTAGCATATCCAGATTTTTCAAGACCTTTTATTCTCTTTACAGATGCATCAGATTTAGCACTGGGTGCTATTCTTTCCCAATTGGACGAAGATGGAAAAGAAAGAGTCGTTGTTTACGCAAGCCGATCATTAACTCCAGCCGAAAAGAACTACTCTGTGACAGAAAAAGAATGCCTTGCCGTTGTCTGGGCTGTTTCATATTTTAGACCCTATCTCCATGAGATTCCGTTTACCCTTTATACCGATCATTCTGCGTTAAAATCATTATTTTCTTACCAATTACCCCAAAATCGACTGGTCAGGTGGATCCTGACCTTGCAGGAGTATAGTTTTACTACCATCCATAGACCCAGAAAAATACATCTTAACGCTGATAGTCTTTCACGAATTTAGAATAATCGGTTTTCAAAGATTTATTTCTTACTCCCATTTGAATTTTACGACATCGATTTCGGATTACCTAAAACTTGATTTAACGGAAAATTTTATAGATCTAGATACATATTATTTATTTTTAAGGTACCTTAGTAAGTCTACGGTACCTTCTGATTATACAAACGCCCAAATTAGAATCTTGGAACATAAAATGCGACATTACTTTGTAAAAGAAGGATTACTGTATAAGAAGAACCCCGGAACCCTCTTAGACTGTTACAAATATTGAAGCCACTAGAAGTCGAAGCTATATTATATGCGATGCATTCGGATACTTTAGCTGGGCATTTCAATAAAGAGGCGACGTACCAACGAATTATTACCTGATATTTTTGGCCACAGATGGGGAACGATATTCGGGATTTTGTTGCATCATTTGACTCATGCCAAAGAAGAGGAAAGCCAACTACTAGAGAGCCTCTTCACCCTATTCGTATTGGCCAACCTTTTGATCGAATAGATATCGATATAATCAGCCCGCTTCCAGTTACTACAAAAGGGTATCGATATATAGTCATAGCAACAGAATATTTGACTCGATGGCCAGAAGCACGTGCAATTGAACGAGCCGATGCTGAATCAGTGGCCAGTTTCCTTTTCGAGAATATTATTTGTCATCACAGGAGTCCACGTGAATTACTTTTAGACCAAGGGACCCATTTTTGTAATAAGATCGTGGATGCATTATGTATTAAAATGAACATTTGTCATTCAAACTCAACAGCTTATTACCCCCAAACGAATAGATTAGTGAGCACTTCAATCGAACACTGTGTGAAGTTTTAGCTAAGTGCATTGAACAGTATAAAGGCGATTGGGATGATTATGTAACTGCAGCACTTTTTGCCTATCGAACTAATAGACATTCTGTTACTCACTATGAGCCTTTTTTCCTTATGTACGGATGGGAAGCTTTGTTACCTATAGAAACTGTAATTTCAACTTATCCGAATGAACCAATTACTGAGGAGAAGTTGCAGAATCAGTTGTTGCGCCGAATAGAAAACTTGATAGGACGGCTGACTGAATCGCATTATCAGGCTAAGAATAATATTGAAAAAGCTCAAGATAAACAAAAAGCACGTCATGATCAAAGCCATCGTATAGAGAGTTATTCGATTGGAGATAAAGTGTTGTTAGAACGGTCCTCTTTGTTGACATTATATAGCACAAAATTTAAATCTAAATTTAGTGGTCCATATTACATTCATGATGTTTGTGGCAATGGTTCATATAAGATCAGAATGATAAGTGAAATAATAGATAACAAGCCTAATAAAAAAGAGAAGGTCCTTAAGAAGGCAGTGCATGGAAACCAGTTAAAATGATATATCGAGGCTTCTGTAAAAGAACATTCACATACTTATAAATACCCTTCAAATTGACTTAATTTCTCTATCAAACCATGGAATCTTTCCTAGTCACTGCACCTTTATTAAAACTTCTACTCCAAGTGCAGGAGCACCTTAAAGGATCATCCATAGATACTTTATGAATTAATAGTACCACTATCGAATTTTTGGATAGCCAAGGGGATCAAGTTTTGGTTGATTTTGCGCCTGAACTAAGAGGAGAACCATCTGAGGCAGATCGTATGCTTCTTTATGTCCAAGACCTTCATAAAAGGGGTGATTCTCATAAAAGGCTTGATCCTATTGAGGGAGAAAATTGGGGACAACAGATGGATTACCTTTGCATACGTCTTCAACTCTGTCGGTTGGATAGAGTTACGTTACTTCAACATTATTATCAATTAGGAGAAAGGATGGCTATTTATAATTGGAATACTTACGCTAGACAAGAAATGAAAGACCGGTTTACCTCTGGGAAATATAAAAAGGCTGTAAGAACTGCTCGACGGATTTACGCCCTTTATAAGATTCGTGGTGTTCATAATTTACTAGTATCTGATTATATCTCAGCCCATGCGATACTAGTAATGACCAAAGAAAATTTTGAATTATTATTGGAGGAAGCCACAAAGGGACGGGACGAAGAAATGGAACTATCATCTGGTTCCGTTTAGGTATCTATAGGGGTTTATACCTAACAAGGGGGGTATGTCACGCTTTTTCTTTGAAAAATCGTGACTTGTAGTAACGAGAACGTGTATACTGTAAGGCTGGGTTGTGGCGAAA